AATATATAAATATATATATATATATGAAAAATTTGTTGGTAAATGGGAATTTTCAACTCCAGTGAAGGCCGGCTTTATCCTGTTCACTAGCTTAGCACGTGTCAAGCATTTTCGTTCAGACTAAATTTTCGCAAATTCCAGCACCATTATGTACTTCGTTCCAGTAGCATGAGCCCATCCTGTTGCGCTCCATAAAAATTTCAGACATGTGCATCACGGAAGAGCAATAAAGCCAATCACACTAATACTTTAGCATGCTGGATGTGTTTGAAAATATAAGCCTGTTACCGATGCAGGTTTCCTTATGCGGATAATACCGAATCTTACCACGATCAAAGCCACTCTACCAGGCAATGTGGATCAGCCAACAGATTCATCAGAGTATAGGGTATATAAAAATGATACTTCTGCAATAACGAGAAATATGAACGTCTATGCTTTGTTTGATTTCCAAAAGGCAGTATATTTTTCATTAATACGACTATTTGTCCGCAACCAATCTAAAATTTTGTTTTCCGGATTCTAACCGACTGCGGTACAAACAGTGTGACGCTTGTGTAAAGCGGAATACGACTTTTTGACACACTCAGCTCAGTCGTGTCATTCAAATGTTCGCATGATTCAAACATTTATCGTGCTGGCTTGGTTCCTGTTTCATGCAGGTAGTTTTCTAGTAATTTAAGTATCTAGCGTAGTGTTGGACACTTACCCTTTTGAAAAGAACGTTGAACCCGCAAGGCGAAAGGGGAGCAAGATTTGTCTTCCACCTACTGCAAGGTCCGACCTGCTGATAACAATATGGCACCTATTGCCTAAGGAATGGGCCTGCTTAAGCGTCCTGAACAATCGTTTCAAATATAACCAGAATTCGAGGTGGACGTTTCCTTCCAGATGTCTTTTTGTTTGCCCGAATATTGTCCACGCCGCAGGAATCTATTAATACATACATATTTTGCTGCTGATAACCGTTCCAATTTTTGTCCAAAAAGAGTCCTGAATGTAGTGATTGCGCTGCCAAACAAATCTACTTGTTTTCTTTCAGTTTACGGAAATGAACTTTCGACTTCGGATGATTTCAATTAGAAAAAACAGACATTATTGTTTCAAGCTCAACTGTAGCCTCCATGAGCCCGGGCAAGCTTCGTAAACATATATTTCACTGGGCAGCAAGCAGAAATTCAACTGAATTCAGGTGACATTGCGGTGACATTCAGGTGACATTCCAGTACACAGGAAAGAAATCTAAGAACTGATACGAACACTTTAAGGCAAAATAAGCTTGATAACCATACACGTCAGCAAGGTGGAACGGGAAATTCATCTAAGTTTAAGTGATGTTTGGTATACTTGAACACAGTCGTGTTCACCCAACGATGGTACAGAAATCAATGGAGGCAGTTCAAATAGAGGGGTAGTGCGGCAGTATGCACAACTGTTTTGTGATTGTAAATTATTTAAGTAATCACCTAATTTAATTCCCCGACGCGAAATAATGATACTCTTGTCGTATTTCTTACTGAAATGCAGGGCATATATAATTAAAATTAGTTTAGCATTCTGTCCTCACACCGAGACAACGCCGGTCCGCCTATTCATCAGCAAGTGGTTCAAACCCAGAAGCTACTTTCTGAAATTTTTGGAAGATGCGCCAGCATATTTATGATTTTTGTTGATTCCCGATGGTGTGGCGTTCAATTTTTACGTATAAGTTCGCCACAATAGGCTGCATAATTGAGAACATCTTATAACAAATTGCGCATCCCCCCGCGCTGGATTGCATTGGCGCCTCATTATGCCAGGTTTGATTATGGGATACCCTCGTGGTGTCTCTTAGGTACCCTTTCGTTTCCTCCAGGAAAATTTATGATGGCCTACAAACGAACTCGTCCCAGACGCAGAATGAATTCCGGTTAGGGACATCGGGATAAGGAAGTCGAAAATGCAAAATAGTCAGTTAAGGTTAACTGGTGAGCATTGCTTTGAAACTGTTCAAAGATTACTCACTTTTTATAACACATTTTATGCCAGCCTCCAGTGTGGTTGAAGTTTTGGTTCATAAGTTCGTTAGTTATTCTTCTCTAAATCTCGTCAGAATTTATCCACTCTGCAAAAAGCTTGATTTAAAAATAGCGAGCTTGAAATTGCAACAAAAGTGGATGAAACGTGTAGAATTTAATCGGTCCGTAGTGTGATTGATATAGATATCAAAATTTGTGAGTGATTAGACTTATAATTACAAACAAATCTTTTCATTGTCTTTCATTGCCATGCAGTTCAAATGCTGCTTCCCACGTGGGTAACCATCGCCAGCACGTCGTCCGTGATTGTCCGGTAATTAGGCAGGTTATTTTGTTGCATCAATAAGCTACCCACGCAACACACAAAAAACTCTACGAATGATGATCTTTTTGGTTAACGTAGTAGTATAGCGTGCGGACGACCAATCAGAACAGGTCAATACGTTGGCCCATACAACAACACCAAAGGTGTGTAATGGAGAATTTCTAAACGTATAGTTTCAGGCACTGCCTATATAGCGTCTGTGACAATTGTCTTCTGCTGTACGCTTTGACGAGTAATCTGTTATATAGTAATAATCACATAATAATAATGAAAATTAATAACCTTGTCAAAAATATTACGCCAACATTTGACCTCGTTATTACTCTACCTCAGTATTTTGGAAAAGAAAAATGTTGCAACGTTTTGTTGAACCGGTTATAACACGTTATCTGTATTCATCTAATCCTTGCTCAATGTGCATCAAATGTATTTACATGACGCCTTGTGTGATTTGTGTATTTAGAATGCTGGAATATTTTTGACAACGGACACAAGCAAGAGCAGCAATCAGCGACTAATCGGATATTTGTTGAACCTAACTTCAACTATGGGGCAATCGCTGCTGATTCATCTATCGCAAAGTGTGACGCTCGGCTTGCAACTAAAGGGCCCTAACTCATCCGTAACTGTTTTTCGTGCACGTTTCCTCCTCTTTTGGTTGTCTCCTGCTATTAGTAATATTACTCGAAAATACTATTTTGTCTATACAAGCTGTCAGTTGACATTTATCGAGTCCTGTCCCGTAAATCTGTGGTAATGATCGGGTGCCGAATGATATATACCTTGTCATATATTGTTTGTTAACGTCCGCATTTGTAAGTGTGCCGTCCGAATTTTGAGAGGGCTAGATCGTATTAGCCCGTGGTTATTGCTGTAAACGGCAGGATGGTGACAAGCAATAAAGCCTTGTGACTTGCATTATATTCGATAAAGCTAGAGGATGATCTAGAAAAGAAGGATATCACGTCAGCAGGATTCCACTATGCCGTAGATGATCGAATAATATATCTATTGTTGTGCTGAAAAGAGAAGGCTTAGGGCAAACACTCTCCTTCCAACGCTGATCATCAAATGTTCACAATAAACAGAAATAAACCTACCGCACACTGGTAGATTGAAAAATGGATTCCTGTTTTGATGAGATTTGAACGTAGGGGATCCCTGATTTGCAAGCTTGCATGGTGACTAAAACTATCTACTCTATTTTACGTTTCAGCTTTTGATGCCGATTTTCATCTATGTAACAACAAAGTGTACCCGCTGGTTTCCGAGTGAAACTCTCAAATATAACTCGCTACTTGAGTACACCATCAAATCTGGCACAGTACAAATCACAGTGGATTCAGAATTGCGAGTAGGAGTTTTAGTGAAGTCATAGTTGTTCCAGTCCACAAAAGCAGACTTAAATTGATAGGTATGCGTAGAAAAGAAGATAGATTAAATTTGCGGTGTATAGAAGCCCCCAAAAATTGGCCAGGCATTCGTCAACCGATTTGGGAGAGTTTATCGTGGGACATGATTGGCATCTTGTCAAACTCTCTCAGCAGTGTGACGCTTTGCCTTCAGTACAGTGAATAAGTATTTATTAATGTATCGATCACTGTAGTACCGAAAGATACTGCTCCGTTTCAGGAAAGCTCATTTTATTCACCAAGCAGGATGTCTATGTAGTGGGTATAATTTGTTCTGAACCCTGAAACCATAATTTCCTGACCAGACTTCCATCGCCTAAGAATAGAGAGACGTCAAGTTTGCAGTTCAGAAGGCCGTATCTGCGAAAGTCTTCGCAAACCACGTGAAATGTCCCACCAGGTGTGCTTCCTGTTACTTCACTCTTTGCACTTCCCCCTCCCCTATTTAACAGGATTGTGTTGATCAGAATTTGGCCTCTATCCCCACGATGCTCAATAGATTGTCAAACGTTTCACATATGAATCATCTATCACTGTAACGTTGCTTACATGTAAATTTACACTGTGGTGATATGAAAAGTGGAAATGAACTTATTTCCATGATATACAAGGGTTGTTTGGAAGTACACCCCAGGTTGGTCTGCACTGATGACTGTTTCCGACAGCAAGCAATGTTACTCAGCCAGGAAAGATTATCAACCCTCTTACATGGTGACGGTTGCGGAAAATTGCGATTGGTATTTTGGACACTTGATCCAAAAGTCAGTGGAATGTCGCTGCATCATCTTCATTGACTACTTGATGTCAGTTTTCGATAGCAATGCCTCACTTTTGTAGATTTTGTTGTTTGACGTAGGTTTCGTGGTTGCGCCTGAGCTGGGATAATGACAGGTTTTCCACACATGGACAGCAAAACCACTGGGATCCTCATACAAAGCCTTAGGGTGAAAAGCCTAACGCGAAGACAGCGATGTTTAGCTGAAAATGCATGTGCATTACATTTTCTAGGGAACAAGTCGCCAATTGATCCAATCCCAGTTTTGAGGACCAAGTTCCTGTGTTCGTCAGACTTCATTGACCAAACCGATATGGGAGACCCATTTAGGTGAACTGACGGCTAATGTGCGCAAACAGGCACACTCCGGTAAGGTTTGGTCTCTTGGCGACGGAAAATTCCTTCACCACACACTTTGGAGATTTGTGTACAATTAAGCACCGCAAACAAAATGGAGATGACCGCCGCAAACGCCACTCACAGTAAATGGCGTAGTTCCATCGTAAACAAGCCTTTAACTGATAAAAGACCACCTGGGAGACCACCGTTTTATGTTGGGGCCTGTGCTAATGATATGATTTGCAAATTTGCTTCTGGACAACGGCTAAGAATGACCAGAAAACCCGGAGCATTGGCTATGAGTGCACTGTAAAATATGTTGCAAGTTGTTTGTTTGGATCGCAGAAACCCGCCAAGAAATCTCACAAGCCTGGAGGGGGAATCTCATCTTATTATTTGGCACAATTACGTGGTGGTGTAATTAAGATCGACGCTGGTTGTGTTTTATATTCGAACGTTTCACATGAGGCCAGGTGAGTACAAGGGATACATTTCATCCATGATCGGGGTTTAAGATTGCCAGAAAGATTCACTTTACTGAAGGACACTGAAAGCTGTGTCGAAGACTGTGGAAAAGAATGAAGTGAGGAATACCTGAAGCATAGAATTTGCTGTGGATGTTGAAAAATGTAAATCAATAACGGATATTGTCAATCTTGGCGGACAATAATATATTTGTGCGAGTTATGCGCGATAGTTTGCAATCAATAATAAACTGTTAGAGAACAGTAACTATTTGATTGAATTTGTACGTTACTGAGAATGAAATGAGCTTGCGAGGGCTCCCCGGCTTGTTTAATTTTGGCTGCTTGGTCAGCGCATTTGAATAGGAGTCCATAATTATTCCACTCGCCATGAGGCCGAACGTACTACAGGTTAGTAGTCAGTAATGCGTCATCACAAGCGGATCATTCCCAAAAAAAATAAAAATTGGACCATTCTTAGGCCAAATAAGTTAACAGCCTGGGCGATAAGCTCAACTTCTCCATAAACCGTGTGTTCCGTACACAATTCAGTCCTCATGTCGGGTTTTAAATTCGTGGCTGCCGACAACACGACAGTAGACAGAAAATATATCGAGGGTTTCAAGCAAAATGACATACAGTTCAACCTCCCTGAATTCAATCTAGTCACAAGCTGAAGGAACCAAAAAAGTGATCATGAGTCGAACGTTCGTGGAGACCTCTTGAAATATGAGCGTCCGGCAGCTAAGCCTTAAATGCTTAGCCCACGCCTCATAGGTGATCGGCTTATTATAAGTGCACAAAACATATGTTAATTACGTGACGTAATTATTTGTTTCCCTAATCCTCAGGCTAGTTCATCACCCTTCCGGGACCATTGAAGTTTCAAGACTGAACCCTTATATTTTACGCAAAGTTGAATCTACCTCAACCGTTTTCTATAGACGATTTGTTTACATTTATTTCTGGGCTTGTTGTTGAAATTTTGTCCAACTCTGAACTGAACAACAATTTTCCCGCTTAATTTGTCCGATAGCACACTGCCCTTGATGTGTCATCCTGTGTTCCCATCTGCCCAAGATTCAATCTAGTCGTAAACCTTTCTTCAATTCTCCTCACGATTTACTGTTAATTTCCTATAGAACCACCCTCTACCTATCTATACTGTCTGCCCAAGTTCAATTCAATATATTGTACACTGCCCAAATGCGACTACTGAACAAACGCAGGTGAAGTTCGTAGAATTCGGTTGCGCAGCACTTATTACTCAAAGTCCGTTGGTGAATTAGACTACACAGACTACACAAACTATTAGACCACACATACTACAGATAGGACATCTAGATCGTGCGTTTATTCTAAGTAACCTAGTCCTTGCATTGAAATCACGGCCTTAGCACGGGATCGCACAAAGTTGGCTAGAAATGCCGTCCGAGGTTCAATATCCGGCTACATTAAAACGCGTTATGTCTGTGTCTCGACGGCATTCTCCGTCTCGTGAATCCACCATTAGCGAATTGTTCACGCACGAATTGATGAGAGAACTGGATCTGGCCCATAAAAAGACTCAAAAGTTAAAGCTGGAGACAGATGCTCCTAAAATAATTGAGGAATATCAAGACAGTGTTCAACAGGAGGTGGAGTAATTAGATAAAATTGCTTGATCGATGAATTCTGGGGTTTAAGAAGCTTTTCCCTGTCCTGCAACAAACGAGCAATATGATGCCGTAAGAAGATATGTAAATTCCATACTAGATCCGAAGGAATTGCCAATACCTGTTGAGCAAGATACTGTTATCAAGCCTCTAAATATTCACTTGTTTAATGCTAACACGACGCAAGACGATCGGGTTTTGAAACCGCTCAGTTGGTGCAAACGTGTATGGGACTTTCTGCGCGACAGCTGCCGAAATTTGACGGAAACCTTGCCGACTACCACAGTTTTATGAGCAGTTCGATGTCCACTTTTGCGCGACATACTCGTGATCCGGCAGATTGATTCTCATACCTTGTACATCATTGTGAAGGTGAGGCAGCTTAGGCCATTAGACGGTGTGGCGTTTTGAAACCCAAGGAAGGCTACGCAGAAGCACTACGTATACATGAACGCAGGTTTGATGATCCCCATATCATTGCAACCCCCTCGATAGAGCAACTGACAGAATAGCCGACACTGATGGCGGTCTATCATAAAGCTTTGGTCACTTTGGATGACGACAAGATGATTTGTTCGGCTACGGTGAAACAACTGCACATCTAAATGATCTTAATTCTTGTCGGACCATTGGGGTCGTCATAGCTAGATTACCAAGTACCATGCGGAATGAATGTTTTACCCTGGCAGCTAAGTCGTCCAAGTTCAAGCGTGATCCAACATTAAACGAACTGGCAAATTTCATAAGCGACGAGGCCGATGCACCAGCAGCTCAACAGGTGTACGCCGTGGGACGGAGGTTTATCCGTCCCCAGCCAAAACTGTGAGGCTCCAATCAACACACAAATCTCCACCATATAAAGCAGCCATCTTTACGACGCAGATAGGCAACGACAGATCAGATCAGGTTAAGTTACCAATTAAATGTGCACACAGTGTGGATCAATTCACTACCTGGATCAGTACATAGAGTTTATTCAAATGTCAGTAGTAAGCAGAATTGCCTGCGTAGACCGACTCCGAGTATGTTATTGTTGTTGCAAACCGTACCATCAAGCAAATGTGTGTCGACCCAGACATACCAGTGTAATCCAGTTATGTGTGGGAAAATAGCATTCACTTTCGCAAAGACCGAGTTCTTACAAGACAGGAAACGAACCAGCATCATCTGAGATTGCATCACAAGATGTACACCATAGCATAGCAGACGTCCCAAAATCAAATATATCGCTTGCAGTAGCGCCAGTTTGGATTCGAGGACCCGAGGGAGACGTCGGTGTCAACGCCTTTTTGGACAACGGTGGCATCACCACCCTGATCCATAGTTCACTTCCGCCGAAACTAGGATTGTAAGGTACACCTGCGTCATTGATTATTAAAACAATCACTGGAAGGTGAGCCACAAGATCTACATCAGTTTGGTTCTCCTTAGAATCGCTCGATTCTGAGGAAGTAATGCCAGTTCATCGCGTATGGGTTGTCAACTCCATGCCCGGTTTACGATCACTCGCACCACGTCCCGAACAGTCCCAGAAGTGGAAGCATTTAAAAGAAATACCGCTTTCAGAATTAAAACCGGTAGACATAGTTCTTCTTATCGGTTGTGACGTCTAAAAGCACATTGGGTTCTAGAGCAGAGGTTCGGGACCCCCAAACCCGTATGCGGTAACAAGATCATTGGGATGGGCAGTTTTGGGGCCTTTATACTCAAATCCCAATAACAATCAAAGCAAGGCAATACTTCTTCACATCAGTCAAACGGAAGACTTAAATTTACAGCTCGAACGTATGTTCAACTTCCAATTCCTCGAAGTTCCTTGTACCAAGCGAGCAATGTCGCTGGATGATCGAGTGATCTATGATCGAATGCTTATGGCTTTGGAAATGGGGGACGGATACTAGCAAATACCCTTACCTTGGAAACATGGAGCCCCATGCCTAGCAGCCAACAAGAGCTTAGCACTCAGAAGACAATTTGTTCCAAACGATCGTCTTGAATGTGACCCTATCTTTAGGAAACTCTATTGTGAAAAGGTCTAAGAGTAATTAAGGAAAGGCTATGCAGAAATCGTCTCCGGCGGTGCGCAAAATAAAGCTGGCCCAAGTGTGTGTTACCTACGACACCATGGCGTCTTCAAAGCAGGATACGAATGCAAACCTCGGGTTGCGTTTGACTGTGCAGCAAAAAATTCAACTACCTCACTGAATTTGCAGCTGCTTACTGGTCCAGATCTGGTGAATAGTTCATGTGGCGTCCTTTTAAGCTTTCGGGAACACCATTACGTGTTGGTCGCAGATATCCAGGCGATGTTCCATCAAGTTAAAGTCCCACAATCCGATCGGTATGCACTACGTTTTCTCTAGTGGACCAACGGTGAGCTTTCCAACCATTCGATTTCTTACCGCATGACTGTTCATCCGTTTGGAGCACTTTCATCTCTCAGTTGGACTAGTCTAGCTCTCAGACAGACTATCAAAACTGTCGTGACCCACTATGGAGTGGAAACGGTAAGATTAGCCATTCAATCCATCTACGTCGATGATTGCCTGATCAGTTTACTCACGAAAGGATCGGTAAACGGACTACGGCTAAGCAATTCAAAGAGGCCCCAGCATCTGGTGGATCTAATTTTACAGGTTTCCTCAGTAATGTGGAAGAAGATTTTGTGGCCTACCCGAAACAATATCCAACAGTACACTGCTTATTACAGATTGTCAACCAGACTACATAAGGAGAACGGTAGGCTTGTTGTGGGGAAATACGGCTGATTGTTTCTGTTTCAAGGTTGAACGCTGGAACGTTATCCCTACTAGTCGTGCTTTAATGTCTTCCGTAGCTTCATTGTTTGATCTCCTTGGGATGGTTGCATCAGTGTTACTGCCAGCAAAGTGTCTGATTCAGGATCTCTATCGAAGGAAGGCTGCCTGGGCCGATGTTATGCCTGAGAATGGAACGTGAAAATGGCATAACTGGTTGCTAAATTTACAAAATGTAGAAAGCATTCGCATGCCACGGTGTATCCGAAACAAATCATTTGCTTCAGATTGTAAGACCGAGCTGCACGCATTTTCTGATGCTTCAGAGACCGACTATGGTGATGCAATCTACATCCGACTGATCGATCCATCCAGCATACTTCACTCCACACCATTGATAGGAAAGTCCAGAGTTGCCCCCATCAAGTTCACAAGCATACCGCGATTGGAGCTCACTGCTGCTGTATTATCTGCCAAGCCAGCTGCTTGTGTGAGAGAAGAACTGTCCATTGATATAGATTCCTCGTTTTTGTGGACAGATTCTATGATTGTGTCACAAATGATACGTAGCTGAACTACAAGATATGAGACCCTCGTGGCTAAGCGGCTAGCGTCCATTCTTGATTATTCGGAAGCTGGAGATTGGATGTATGTCGGAAGCAAATATAATCCTGCAGATATAGCTTCCCGTGGTCTACTATCAGGCACATACAAATTGTCCTTGTGGTTATCTGGCCCTGAATATTTTAGAAAGGATTGCAACAAGTTGCCCCCTCAACCGGTTATCTATCCTATTCCTGCTGCGCATGTAAAGTCAAAGGAAACTGAGGTAGTACATACGACATATTTATACTGGATTGATCGTTTCGAACACGTGTCCAGTTGAAGTCTGCTGAAGAGGCTAGTGGCATGGCTGCGCCTTTTCTGCCTATGGATGAGACGCAGAAGAGCTGTGCTACCCGGAGACGAGGAATATTGTAGTTTGACCAGAAAATATTTCGTGGAGGTGGAATTTCTTATCCTTAGGTCGGTTCAAACAGCTTGTTTCACACAAAAAAGGAAATACTGAAACCCACAGAATCTTCGAACGATTGGAGGCCCCGCGATTACCGGGTTAACTACGACGGCTCTCCCCATTTACCCACCAGGGTATTTTACGTGTTGGAGGACGCCTTAGGTGGGCTCCAATAACTTCCGATATGAGATATACAGTAATTCTTCCAAGTCATCATTTCGTAAAAAGGCAACTCGTTCGGCATACCCATATAGTGAACGGCAATGCTAGGAGCTTTGCATGTCCTTAATGCGCTACGAGTAATATATTGGGTTATCAAAGGTCCAGCAGTCGTTCGGAGTGTCCAACATTCTCGCTTTCACTGCAAACGCTAGCATTCTCAACCTGAAGTACAAACTATGGCTCCAATTACTGATGATAGAACGTTAACTCATGAAGCACCGTTCGCAGTGACTGGGGTTGATTATTTCGTACCTTTATTGGTAAAGCGAGGTCGTGGGTTTGGTGGTCCTGGATTGGATTGACAAGCTAAACCTTTCGGACAGGCCACTGCATGCTATCTGTTACAAGACACAGGCGACGAAACCGAACATATTAAAAAAGCTGCCTGACTCGTTTTGGATGAAGGACTCAGAAGGTCGCAACACGTGCACTAAGTCCCTGTCGTACCACCCTCATTCAAATGGCCGAGCCGAGAGATTTGTGGATGCTTTTCAACGAGCACAGTTGAAAATACGAGGGTAGGGATCAACGTACGTTCTACCTCCAAAAGGGGGAAAAGTCACGGCGCGCCCAGACACAAGATAA